TGTCAGGAGTGGATATAAAATCACACCAAAAGATGCATCAGATGCTAAAAATACGTGTGAATGAAATTGGGTCCTTGAAAGGTCATGGAAAAAGTCTTTAAATGTTGTCCATTAAAGTGTGTTGGAACCCTATTTGCAACCATGGAGCACCACTGTGACTTGCTCCAATTTGATTATTTAATAATTTTGTATTTTAGTAGTCTACAGTGCTTTGGAGGAGATTTCAAAATATTGTGATATTATTTTTAAGCTACATTGCAACACCCAAGGTCACCGTACAAAGCATATACTTATGAGCAAAGCTTCAGAAAACTGCAAACAGCAAAACAACAGGCCGAGCAAGATGTTCTTAACAGATGCTGCACTCATATAAAAGAATTAAAGAATGCAGGAGCAGCATCTTTACAAATGACCTGAACAACTCAGCTGCACTGTTTTATACAATTTTATACAGTACAGCCAACATCTTTTCACAATAAGCTGCCATAGAGCTGACACAAAGTGGAAAAGCTGGCAACACAAATAATGTCTCTGCTGAGGAGAGATTTTCTACATCTTATATTTTTCACTCTGTTGTGTCTGTAGTTACTGTATCCTTCTCTTGTCTCTGGGGTTTTCTCATATTGTGAATATAAATCATCGTTGGAGAAGAAAACAGTGTTGTGCAGATGCTACTTTGGGTCTCCATGTTAAAAAAAGAAAATGAATACAAACAGCCCTACGGGTGAAGTGAGACGTTAATCAGTGCGAGGTTACTTCTGTCAGAGAACAGGTGGATGTTTGTGTTTCCAGTGGCCGTACAGTTTGTCCTCCAGCATTTGTTACTCAGTGTTGTTAAAACTGACGCTCTGTGTGTTCGCTGCCGTCAGTGGGATTAACGGGAGCAGCTCGAGCGTTAATATGAATCCACTCTGACATCTTGTAAGGTCGTTGCTGCTGTCTGGAGACGAGAGGAAGTGGTACGTGCAAAAGGTCTCAGCAGCGCAGGGCCGGCTCCCCGGGGCATGATGGTGAGAAAAAACAGTTAGAGACAGACATCCATATATACATGACCACACGTGTACTCCTACAAGTCGAACATACAGCACTGAAGGAGAGAGATTGAAAAGGTACTTCTACACATCCAGCTTTTAATTTGAATTCAAAGCATCACTTTGATTTGTGATTACTCAGGTGTAGCTCGACTAAGCAAATATTTGACTTTTCTTCACTGTTACACCTTGTCTGCTCAACAAGATTCACACCAGGGAGCTGCTCGGTGTAACTGCTGCAATCTGTCTGACACTATTTAAAATGTGTCTCTCTCTGCTCTGGGCTGCTGGTTGTTTGAAGGGCACCAGCAGGGAGCAAGACGCCGGAACCAAAGATACTCAAAGATTTAATAACAAAAAGAAAGATTAAGTTGATGTCAAACTGATTCAGACTTTAGAGGATGCCTGAGAGGGAAAAACTACACTGTGCGACATGGATCTAATGAACTTGGGTACGACATCAAGTTTGATGTATGCAGACTGTACAATGACAGCGCCTACTCAATCACAGGCTGTGAAGTACGATACATTAGCTTCCTGTACTGAGTGCACAAGGATGCTGCACGGGTTATTACTTCTCTGTGAAGCACAGCGTAGAGGCTGACATTATTATATGACCTAAAGTTTTGTGGGCCTTATATACTGCCATGTGTGTGCGTTTGCCAGCTGCTGTAACTCCGCCTTTATTTCCTACCATGCTTCGTCCTTCTTTATGCAATCATGCTGGAATCCCACACATTTCTTTTAGCGTGTTTTGCCTCCATGGCGAGCTGTTACCCGTCTGTTTGTCTGGGTTTAGCACCAGTACGTCAGTTTGTGCTGCATTTCTATTGGATGGATAGCAGAAGTAGTACATAGTAGTACATATTTCTTTCACGTTGCTCATCTTTTGTCTGGGAAACCAAACAAGGCTTTACACACACTGTTTTTTTTTTGTTTGCATCACTGCTTGCGTCTTCAATGAAAAGATTCAAGTTCACCCTTTGGTCCACAGTGAAAAATTTTGTAGAGATATTCATGGACAGGTCGACAGCGGCTCTACTCCGAGCTCCCCCTGGATGTCCGGGCTCCTCCCCCTATCTCTAAGGCTGAGCCCAGCCACCCTTCTGAAGAAATTCATTTTGGCTGCTTGTATCCACAACCTCATTCTTTCAGTCACTACCCAGAGCTCATGACCATAGGTGAGGGTTAGGACGTAGATGGACCAGGAAATCAAAAGCTTTGCCTTCTGGCTCAGCTCCCTCTTCACCACGTTGGCAAACCGCCGATCCATCTCACGCTCCATTCTACCCTCACTCATGAACAAGACCCCAAAATACTTGAACTCCTTTGCTTGAGGCAGGAACTCTCTTCCATCCCAGAGGGAGCAATCCACTGTTCTCCAGCAGAGAACCATGGGCTTAGACTTAAAGGCGCTGACTCTCATCCTGACTGCTTCACACTTCTACATATTGCCCCAGTGCCTGCTGGCAAAGATATTCACTTTACAATGAAAATCAGAAAAGCAGCAAATCCCATCATTGGAGCCGCTGGAACCAGAGAAGAATGACATTTCTTGATAAATGACTTCATTAATCGATCATCAAGATTTTCTTTTGATAGATGGTTGAGCTCCACCTGACCCTGTAAACAACACAACAGGGTTTTTATATAATCCATCAGTACATGTTGGCCCACAGCCCTTCTCTTCAATCATCAACCGTCCATACCATCTAAAAGATGCATCAAACACAACCAAACTCCCATTTCAAGTACAATCTACAAGACTGTGCGCCTGTGTGTTACTAGGGAGATTAGAAAATGTAAAATAGAACTGAAATTCTGAAAGAAATATGTCAGACCATAAATTGGCTCTGGGTCTGATGAAGCCTTTTTTTCTCTTTTTTATTGATTTCTGCCTGTGTTCCTCTGCTTTGCCTTCGCTCTCATTTCACCATCTAACCTCCCTGAAATACCAATCAGCCGTGGTTAGATCGAAATCTTCATCTTATCATCGTTAACTTTGATCAGCTGGTTACTTGAAAAGCTTAACAGAGGCCTTGTGAAACACTGCAGGTCACACAGTGAAGATCAGATCACACATGACACGAGTTTAGTTTGGACTTCCGGCACAATTTGGACAGAAAATATTAAACTTTGGTTTCAGTCAAACAGCCCTTTTTCCAAAGCACACTTTTAAACATGAAGTGCAATTGTGTAAAATAAATATGTTCACTTCAATGAGCACATACTTCAAACAGACTTTCCAGTATCTTCACTTGTTCAGACGAGAGTCTGGTTTGCACCGTGAGTGTTTCTGTTCGATGTCTCTCGTCTGGATGCTGATGAATTAAAGTCCGCTCTGCCAGACAGACGGAGAGCGGCTGGATCAGGAGAGATAGTTGAGTGTGAGCGACTACACACTACAGACTCCTCTGCGTCTTGTTTTGATTTCACAGCTAATAAAGCCAGACTGAGCTGTAATAATGTCGTTACACTTTACTTTCATCAGATTTCACGCTGTACAGAACAAAGCAGACCAACATTAACCTCAGCTACACGGAGGTAAATTACCTTGTTTTTTCCAGGAATTTCATGGGTAAAAAGAAAAAAACAATCCTGTATCTGCGCTTTTTACAATTTTAATGTATGCGTCATAGACTGTGTTTCTTTGGCATTTGACATGGACGACTGCTGGAAAATTGTAATTTCACGAGTATATATGGTGAAAGCTTTGCAAACCTGGCACCAGACGTCAATGTGACATCAGAATGGCATTGGACTCTTACGTTGATTGGAATGAAAAATGGGTTGATGGTATTTTAAAGGTCTAACAATGTTAGAATTTCACGTTGGTTTGATGTTAACAACATGATGTTTTGCAGACGTTGGGTGTTGCTCTCTGTAAATTGTGACTTAGTGTCATTATTTTATGTCAAGATGACATTGGCATGACACGTTTAGTAGACGTTAGACATTTTTTGGTTACTTAACAACACGACTTAAAACCAACAAAATATCAACAACATCTGTAATCAGTACTTTACATCAACTGATGTTGGCATTTGATGAATAATTTTGGTCACCCCACTTATCAACCTAAAGTCAACCAGATATCGACATTCAAAGACGTTGCTGGACATATAAAGCTGAATCCTTCAGTACTTAATTACTTGTACTTTAATGCTCCTTTATACTTTCACTCCTGCACTGTTTTAGGCCTAAAGAGTTAAATATTCTTCTAATTCACTAAAAGCAAAAGTCTTAAAAAAATTACAATGTATTTTCATAGAACAGTTCATATGATGTCCTACAAACCCCTGCCCCACAAATGATGTAACATCCCTTATGTACAGTAATGTAATTAAAGTAAAGTAAGGTTGGTTTGGTTTAGGCAATAATATTTATCGGTCTATCCACCACCCCAACCTGTCGCAAGCACTCAGGACTGCCTCCTAATTCATTGGTCAAATGATCGCAGCCTTTCAAAATCCGTGGGATATGTACGAATTTGGATGCATTGTTTGTAGTAGAAAAACATTTGAAAAATTTGTGAGAACAGCCTGACAACTAATATGTGTATCGAGACTTACTCTCCCATGAATCATCGTATGACCCCTCAGATTTATATTGTGACTTTTTGGAAGGGCCTGATCGCTGGGTTGGAAACCACCAGACTAAATTAGCCAACAGTAGACATGTGCCAGTATGAGATTTTGACGGTATGATAACCGTGGGCAAAAATACCACAGTAACCGGTATTACCGCGGTAATAGTAATAATAATAATGATAATAATAATCATAATAAAACAGGTGTTGTCCTGTTTTCGCGCTCTACACTTTAAAATGGTAGGCTAAAATTCATTTGACTGTTCATGAGCGACAGCACGTACCAGGCATCTCCTGTCAGTGCAACGCATCATCACACTAGTTGTTTAAATGTGTAGGCTAATATAGACCTGTTAAAAGTAATAGAGCCGTTTCTTAACTTCATGATGCTGACTCCGCCCAGCAGCTTGTTGAGCTCCTCGTCATTGCGGACAGCCAGCTGCCAGTGACGGGGGATGATGCGGGTGTTCTTGTTGTCGCGGGCAGCGTTTCCAGCCAACTCCAGGATCTCAGCGGTCAGATACTCCAGCACAGCCGGCAGGTAGATGGGGTAACCAGCACTGACATGCTCCACATAGTTTACTTTGCGCAGCAGCCTGTGAACACGGCCGACTGGGAACTGGAGCCCAGCACAGGAGGAGCGGGTCTTTGCCTTGGCTCTGGGGGGTCTTCTGATAGCCTAAATGGTCCAACACCACCGACTTCGTCCTTTTCGCTGGTGGGAAAAGTTCAGCTTCGCCTCCTCCAGCCATGTTTGCAGTTTGCACGTGAGTGGATTTACACTGATTACTGATGTACTGACTGACTGAGGCTGCCCCCCCCCCAGTTATTGTGCTGACTGCAGCAGCTGCACGTGCATGATTTCAGAGTGTGTGCCAGTTAAAATGTACGACTGGCACAGAGTTGTTTCTGAGTTTTGAGTTCCTGAAGTTCCCATTTATGAAACATAGCGTAGGTTACACCATTGGCCTTTACCGTCAGAACAGAAAATGGGTGGTTAGTGACACCGTGGCATTCTTTTACCGTGGTAAACCATGATGCTGGTAACCAGCACATGCCTAGCCAACAGTATATAAAGTATATATCGTTGGTATTAATATTATGGGCCCTATTTAGATGGTCTAAAGCGGACGGCGGAGGGTACATAATCCAGTTCGCAAGTGTCATTGCTATTTAGATGCAGACGCAGTTGTCATTTTAACGCCCTGTGCCCTCTTTGTCTAACTAGCAAAAGAACTTGTGCTTCTCTGGGTGTGTTGGTCTAAAAATGAGGACTGGTCAGGCGCAGTCATGGCGCGTTGCTATTTAGATGACATAAAAAGCAAATGCGCCAGTGACCAACAAAAACCTGGTCTAAAGTCAACGGCGCAGTATTTCACTTTTAACCAAGTTAGTAATATGCGTCTCTAGGCGGGTGCACAACGCGCATGCACTCTGCTCAGACACACACAGAGCAGCCACACATATGCAAAAGATAAATAAAAATATGATTACAATGTGAAAGGTTATTATTGTGCACATTAAAATATTTATCAGAAACATGTCTTAATGGTCAGTCATTAATCAGAATGATCTAATCGCAGTTAATGATCATCATAATGCGGGAGGTCCAAGCTGCAGTGTCCGAATATACAGAACTGCGAGCAGACCTCCGTGGGCTGATGATGCATAGCCTGTAAAATTAACTTGTCTTTCCCAATTGAATTGTGATCATTTTGGCATGTAAATCACAAAATCAAAGATGTGAAAATGTTTGATAAACTTTATTTTGACATAAACACAACAATAACCAGCTTCTGTGAACTAAAAACGTAAACTTATAGCCCTACAAGTACAAATGTATATGTAAAAAAAGCTTTTAGAACGTAAAACTGAGGATCATCTTGTCAGGAGGGGAGGAGGATGACCCCAGCGCCGCAGCCAGCGCGCAGTCAGACCAGACGGGCCCGGGTGCAGCCACGGGACCAGCCCTTCCTGCACCTTCAGGTGGGGGGTTCAGGATGCTGGAGAGGGAGCTGGGCTCTCTAACCTCCCGGGTTAAAATAAAATAAATTGAATAATTTACAATTTGTTGACAGCGTTTCTCTCATGCACTCTCTCTTTCTCTCTCGCAGTCTCACTCTGTTTCTTTTCTTTTGGTTTTTCTAAGATGACAGATGCTGAATATATACTCCCTATCTGATGCTGTGGCTGTTTGTGGCTGGCTGAGCGGGATGTGAACTTATTAGTTTGCAGCTGTGTTAATCAAATCAGGTTGGGTTTCCATTACGTGTGCCAAACGTGCCACATCAGATGTGACGGGACAGTTGATATAGAGATACAGTACATGTATCGTCTCCTCAGCTGTAAAACGCTCACTCTTTCCAGTTGGTAGGTCCGCCATCTCACTAGCACTCCACCGTGCGCTCCAAACCGCCTCTTTTAAAGGGAATGAGAGGTGACACTCTGATTGGCTTATTGATACGCCCAAAACACACCCATGACTAATTCACAGAGTAAGTCCAACCCTTTTAGACTCTCCGCCATGGCGCACAGTCTGAAAACGAGCTGTCTAACTAGCAAGTGACTGGGACACGCCCATGCACCGCACGCCTGGCGCTTTGCGTTTTAGACCATCTAAATAGGGCCCTACATCATTCACAGGCCATTTTGCAGCAGAATGAGAACTTTCAATAGTTTGGACTTCCAGCACAATGTGGACTGAAAATATGAAACTATTTACAGATAGAGAGAGAGAACGATTTCCCCTCCTTTCCACTCCCCCATAGCTCAGCTTTCAAATCCTCAGCCTTTAGACCAAACTGTTACATGTTTAAAGGGTACTTGTGCCACTTGGGAGGGAGATACAGCTTCATGTTATCATAAGGCAGAAAGAGCTGAGGAGCATCCAGTGAAGCTTTTGCAAGTTGCCATCGAACTGTCCCTGTGCAAGCAATTAAAAGGGCCACTTGCTGGGACATGTCCCCCATGAACTTGAACTGCCTCTGTGTAAGTGAAATGTGTGCGTGACTGTGTGTTTGTGAGAGAGAGTGTGAAAACCAGTGACATGTAACAGTGTTCACACCGGGCCTGGATCAATAATCAAGACTGATGAGTGTCTGTACTATGTTGCGTTTTTCAGGACACCCTTGGACCTCAGCATGTGCATGCAACCACTGTGCTATAAAAGAAAGTTGCCACAAGCAATATTTCAAATATGCATGCATACTGTGTAAAAACAGGGATACAGTGTCTGTGAATTCCAGGTTACAACATGGTCCAAACCATGGCTAAAACACAAGAAACCTAGTCCAAAGCACCGCCGAAATACCAGTGGATTTTGGATGAAACTGTAGCAAAAATATGAATGACTTTTGGATCAAACTGGTGTTAAAACCCCACAGAATACTGGACCAAACAAGAGCTAAGACACCAGTAAAATTCATCCAACCTGGATTTAAAACACATACAAACCACCAAAGACCAAACCAAAGCTACAATGAGCAATCAGTGTTAGACCAAACCTGAACTAAAACACCAGAAAATATTGGACCAAACCACAGTTAAGAAACAGGGAATATCAGACCAAACCATGCTTAAGAATCAGAGCATGTTTGACCAAATCCTGGCTATGAAACCAAGAATGTTGGACCAAATTAGGCAAAGAAACAGCAAATACTGGAACAAAACGAGACTAAAAAAAGGAGAAAACTGGCTAAATAACAGAATATTCAACCAAACCATGGTTAAGAAACAGAGAATGTTCAGGCTAAGAAACAGAGCATGTTAGACCACACCCTGGCTACAAAACAAAGAATGTTGGACCAAATTAAGGCAAAGAAACAGAATATCAGACCAAACCCTGCCAACAAAACTGAGACCTCGGGACCAAACCCTGGTTAAGAAACAAAGAATGTTTGACCAAAACAAGGCTAAGAAGCAAAAAGTATCAGACCAAACCCTGGCAACAAAACCAAGAATATTGGACCAAACCAATGCTAAGAGACTGAGAATATCAGACCAAACCCTAGCTACAAAACCGAGACCACTGGACCAAACCCTGGCTAAGAAACAGAGAATGTTGGACCAAACCCTGGCTACAAAACCAAGAATATTGGACCAAAGCAAGGCTAAGAAACAAAAAGTATCAGACTAAACCCTGGTGACAGAACCGAGACCACTGGACCAAACCCTGGCTAAGAAACAGAGAATATCAGACCAAACTGTAGATATGAAACAGAATACTAGATCAAACGATGGTTAATAAACAGGGAATATCGGACCAAGCCATTGCTACGAAACAGCATGGTGGACCAAACCCTAGCTACAAACCAAGAAAACTGGATCAAACGATGGTTAATAAACAGAGAATCTTAGACCCAACTCTGGCTAAGAAAAAGAGAATTTCAGACCAAACAATCATTCAAAAATAAAGAAAACTGGACCAAAACGTGGCTACAAAACCAAGAATATTGGACCAAACCAAGGCTAATAAACAAAACATATCAGATCAAGCCCTAGCTTCAAAACTGAGAATATTGGACCAAACCAAGGCTAATAAACAGAACATATCAGATCAAACCCTAGCTTCAAAACTGAGAATATTGGACCAAACCAAGGCTAATAAACAGAAAATATCAGATCAAACCAAATACAGTTTTATGATGTAAAAAAAGCCGGCAATCTTGTTAGTTTGTATTTACTGTCCTTTCATTCCAACTATCTGTCTTGTGGCTGAGACTGTAGTCAGTACAGATGCTCGTCTCTCTGCCTCATTACACCTTGAGCTGAAGGGTCAGTGAGCGATGACACGACTCCTCTTGGTCTGAAGTTGGTTTGTTTGTTTTTTTATTTTATCAAACTGATAAAATACGAATTGTTGATTTAGAATTTCTTTCATCTTCTCCGCTGACATTTCAGAGAAAGTTTACAGCCTCCGTTTATTTTTCTTTGTTTTCTGCCTTTGTCTTTGAAAGAGTTACCCTGGAGCGACTCATTTGTCTGGCTGCATTTCTTTAGACCGTTGAATACAATATAAGGAAGTCATCTATTTCCACTTAAAGTCTTCGCTGAACAACAGCTCTTCTGTCATCCTGACTACGTCCACTGGTGCACATCATGATACAGTGTCTTCCCTCTCCAGCACATCTTAGCAGTTTGTTGCTGGAAGGTAAATTGCTGACGGAAAGCTCCAGCACTTCTCCTGTGACTTATCTCAGCAGGAGAGCTCTCTCACATATTAATTAAGAGACAGATGAAAAGCAGGAATTAGTACAGGGTTACAAGAAGAAAGGGGCTTTAAATAAAGTTTAATCATCAAAAAGTCCACCTGGCTCATTGGTCAAACAGATTATTTACACATACTGTTAAAGCAAAGAGCTCTTTTATCCAATATCTATAATGACTCCTTGGCAGGATGTCTCCCAAAGCTGCAGACCACTGTACCAGACCAACAAACAACAAAACTGGTTGTTTTTTACCAAGATGTTGCTCTTTGCCAGGATAGTGCAACCAGAAGCAGTTGTTTTTTTACAAGATATAAAGCTGCATTTTCTGCTGAGATAATGCAAAACACCAAAACATTGGTAACAACTCCTGCAGAGATAATGCACTGAAAACCGGTTGCCTTTTACAGAGACATTGCTGCGTTTCCTGCCATGATAATGTCACAAATAGTGGCTGTTTTTTTTTTACCAAAACAGCAGTTGTTTTTTGCCGATATACACATTTTCTGCCGAGATAGGGCTACGAAAAGCGATTGTTTTCACCCAGA